AGAATGATGTAAATTGATGCTATTAGTGTCCCTGATAGAATATTAGAATGATGTAAATTGATGCTATTAGTGTCCCTGATAGAATATTAGAATGATGTAAATTGATGCTATTAGTGTCCCTGATAGAATATTAGAATGATGTAAATTGATGCTATTAGTGTCCCTGATAGAATATTAGAATGATGTAAATTGATGCTATTAGTGTCCCTGATAGAATATTAGAATGATGTAAATTGATGCTATTAGTGTCCCTGATAGAATATTAGAACGATGTAAATTGATGCTATTAGTGTCCCTGATAGAATATTAGAACGATGTAAATTGATGCTATTAGTGTCCCTGATAGAATATTAGAATGATGTAAATTGATGCTATTAGTGTCCCTGATAGAATATTAGAATGATGTAAATTGATGCTATTAGTGTCCCTGATAGAATATTAGAACGATGTAAATTGATGCTATTAGTGTCCCTGATAGAATATTAGAATGATGTAAATTGATGCTATTAGTGTCCCTGATAAAAAATTGAGAAAACATCTTTAAGATATCTTTAAAGAAATCCAGCGTCATATAATTGTAAGAATATTTGTATAGAAAAAATTAGTAACCTTCAAGGACTGAATTAAACTAAAGTTTAACCTAGATTTTTAAAACTGTTTCACGAAACGGTTCTGTCAATTAAAATAGAAATTTTTAATTATTTCTAAAGATCTGTCATTGAAAATGTCATCATGTTTTTAATGAGGAGAGAAATAGAGAAAGATTGGTAATTAAAATAAATAATTAATAAACTTCGTGTCAGTCAAGTTTTATTTTTTTTTAGAAATATCAAGTTTTTATAGTTATGATTATTGTCATTTATTATTCAGTAATATTTAAAAACACATTATTATGATATACTGTTATTGAAACAAACAGTTATTAGTTATATTCTAGAATAATGTTGGTAGATACTACACACTTCTTGATGGCCCCATCTCAATAGGAAAAATAGATAACAAGTTCACTTCTAGCATATTCTGATATCTCAAACCAGGTAGTTGTAGTAATTGGTAGTTGGATTCTATTTTGTGGTTTTGCAAGTTGGGAACAGACTGGGTTTAGATGTGTTTTATTTGAATAGCTTTGTATTATGCAGTGCTTTTAACTAATCTGATAATTTCATACAAGCAGGTCAGGGGTTAATTTCATACAAGCAGGTCAGGGGTTACCATAGACAGATCTTTTTCACTTGTTTCATACATGTGTTCTTATTTACAAAACAAATAGTAAAAGTGACAGTGTAGAAGCCTCTTATGATAAGCTGGTTTAGAAATCACATGACATCATGAATATTTAAAATATGAAGTTTAGCTGCTCAAATGAAACATGGTAGAAATATGTAATTGTTTTAGAATTGTGGAAGAAAGGAAGGGTGTTTATGTGTAATATTTAAAACCTGACTATATCAATATTTTTATAAATACCATTATTCAATCTCATTTTGTCATCATTTTATTTATCAAGTTACCATTATTAATATTTATATCAATTCATTTTATTTATCAAGTTACCATTATTAATATTTATATCATTTCATTTTATTTATCAAGTTACCATTATTAATATTTATATCATTTCATTTTAATTATCAAGTTACCATTATTAATATTTATATCATTTCATTTTAATTATCAAGTTACCATTATTAATATTTATATCATTTCATTTTAATTGTATATTTTAATTGTATATTTTAATTGTATATATTAATTGTATATATTAATTGTATATTTTAGGTTTGGATTAACGAAGCCACCTATTTATATTAATATAGTTCGAGATCCATTAGATAGACTAGTATCATACTATTATTTTATACGTTACGGAGATGATTTCAGACCAACTATAAAACGACGTAAAGCTGGAAATCGAGAGGTGAGATCTTGTTAAATATTTATATATCATCTTTCTTTAAGTTTTAATTTCAGCAATCCTTATCAAGTATTGGATGAGTAAGTTAAACTATTGTTCACCTGTTGGTATCTGAAGATCTAGGTTTCAAAACAGCATAGATCAAGATAACAGTTTTCATCAGAACTGAATTAAATTTAGTGAATTTTCACTACTGATCTTATTAATTAGACACTAGATAACAGATACTTACAAATATATTTTGGACATATATTGTAATCAACCTGGCGTTCATATTTGGCTCATGCTCACTGTACAGGCTACAAACAATGATTTGTACATGCAATCAAAGCTGTTGGTGGGCGTATGTCACTTTGATTGGCAAGGCCATCTTAATAAAAGTTAAATCTAAGCTATACTATATAGTTATGTATTAGACTTTGTGATTTTTCCCTCATAGATTCTCAAACTAGATTACAGATATATATATATATATATAATATTTTATAGCCAATATTAATAGAATTTGGTGAATTGTCGCCACTGATCTGATTATTTTCCCCCATTGCATACTGGATTATATTTTCTATTAAAAGTAATATTTTCTAATATATTTTATCTACCCTAGACTAAATTAAACAGCTCACTCTGTGAATATATATGTCTCCCTGAACGTTCATAAAAACAATATTTTACAGTAAAAACCTTTCAACCATCACCTGATGGGGATAATAAAAGCTGGAATTTGATTGGATCAATATATTGATAGTACGCTCATTTTGATTGGATGTAAATTATTTAAATTTATTGTCGTTGTTGGCGATGATAAAAATTCATTTTCACAAAACATGCGATAGTAACATAAATTTTACAGTCTACATAGAAATTTTTACTCACAGCTTATAAAATTTTTACAGTCAAGATAAAATCTTTAATTTTCTTGGGAATTGCTTCTATATAATATTTTTACTTTATAAAATTACAAAAAAATTAACATTTTAATGAAATGTCCTTTTAAATTTTACATTCTGCAGGTTACCAAGTTTATTTCATTTCAATTTATTACAATAAAAATTATTTACAGAAGTTGAAAGAAAAACATCATCAAAAAGTATCAAGGCAAGGAGATAGGATAATATGTTGAGGACCTGTTTACTACAGGTTGTATTTATTGAAGATTCCTTGACAAACTGAAATAAACCAAATAAATTCTATTTTGTTGTTAAAAGACCCACCATAATAATATATCTATCTGATTTTATCACTAAATACATAATTACGATTAGTAACAATCCCTCATAGATAAAAAATCAGTTTTCTATATAGGTACATGTCAGTTTTCATGTCAGTTTTCTATATAGGTACCTGTCAGTTTTCTATATAGGTACATGTCAGTTTTCTATATAGGTACATGTCAGTTTTCTATATAGGTACATGTCAGTTTTCTATGTTGTTATCTTCTAAACATTGACTTATAAATTGTGGTTTGTACAAAAACATGATGTGTGTTAAATTACAAAACAATAATTTTACGACAACTAATTCCAACAAATAACTGTCCTGATTCCAGATTAAAATAAAATCTTTCAAATTAGACGAGGAAACGAGAAAATTTCTCATCATTTGGGCAATTCTAGGATAATACTACTTCAGGAAATGTTCACGGCTCGTATAATACTCTACCAGACAATCCATTATGGTTTTTTGATGAGCAATTTAAAGAGGAATCAGAATAAAATGTGTCTATTAAAGTTGAATAGTGGTAAAATTGGAAAGTAATGACAAACTAAACTGAGATTTACTAATAGAAGAGAGAGAGTGATTATTGGTATTTGGCTACAAATTCAATATTTGGTCAGTGTATTATCTGTGTGTTGGATCAGATCTTGAGAATTGATGTGAGAGAATTGGTTCAGCTAATAATAACTTAATCAATCTCCAGTGTTTAATCAGCACCACACTGGTCAGAGTTTCAGGAATTTTAAATTACTTGTTGATTGAGACTACAAATATCTGGGGAATTGGATTTTGAATTTTAGAGAAAAAAACAGGACAAAAAAAAATAAGGAATTCACGTAAATTGGACATAATTTTAAGTTTACACTAGAAAAATAGGATATAAGTTTACAATAGAAAAATAGGATATAAGTTTACAATAGAAAAATAGGATATAAGTTTACAATAGAAAAATAGGATATAAGGTTTACAATAGAAAAATAGGATATAAGGTTTACAATAGAAAAATAGGATATAAGGTTTACAATAGAAAAATAGGATATAAGGTTTACAATAGAAAAATAGGATATAAGGTTTACAATAGAAAAATAGGATATAAGGTTTACAATAGAAAAATAGACAGAGTTAGGAATTGAGATAGTAAAGGATAAAAAGTAAAAATTAAAATATATATATTATTATTATAGTATGTGAGATAAATCCAATGGTTAATTGGAATAGTATAAAATCTAGCTTAATAATTTCTATTTCTAGATTTGATATTTATATCTATAACTTTAACACCATTGACTCTGATCTCTCTAACTATTCAACTGATTGACAGTTTACAATTAATTAATATTTTACTCATTAATATTCATGAGATGACTAGAAGGTCATGTGATAAGATTAAGGACTAGAGCTGCATGGAAATCTTTCGTTATTAAATTACTTCTGTTAATTATTCTGTCTAAGTATCTGACAGTCGATGCTTACTGATTTTAAACATTTCATTACTAGTGGGTGGCTGTCTGAATGAATGAATTAATAAGTGAATGAGTGAATGAGTGAATAAATGAGAAAATGAATGACTGAATGAATGAATATAAGTAACCCAACATCAATTACTAATTTTAAACTGAGCTCTATTACAGATAGTTTAAACTGAGCTCTATGACAGATAGTTTAAACTGAGCTCTATTACAGATACTTAAAACTGAGCTCTATTATAGATAGTTTAAACTGAGCTCTATTATAGATAGTTTAAACTTGGCTCTATTACAGATAGTTTAAACTGAGTTCTATTACAGATAGTTTAAACTGAGCTCTATTATAGATAGTTTAAACTGAGTTCTATTATAGATAGTTTAAACTGGGCTATATTACAGATAGTTTAAACTGAGTTCTATTACAGATAGTTTAAACTGGGCTCTATTATAGATAGTTTAAACTGAGCTCTATTAAAAATAGTTTAAACTGAGCTCTATTATAGATAGTTTAAACTGAGCTCTATTATAGATAGTTTAAACTGAGCTCTATTATAGATAGTTTAAACTGAGCTCTATTACAGATAGTTTAAACTGAGCTCTATTATAGATAGTTTAAACTGAGCTCTATTATAGATAGTTTAAACTGAGCTCTATTACAGATAGTTTAAACTGAACTCTATTACAGATAGTTTAAACTGGACTCTATTACAGATAGTTTTTCACCAAAATATCCTGTTTGACTTGAAACTTTACTCTATTAGCTATATTGTGCAACTCGTGCTCACTCTACAGGCTACAGTTCTTTACAGATTCTTTTGATTTTGATTTTGTATGTCTATGTCATTATGAAGATGATCCCTATTGATTTTTGTGATGATCGGATAATTTTTCACCGAAATATCGTGTCTGACTTGACGTTTTTCTCTATTAGCTATATTGTGCAACTCGTGCTCACTCTACAGGCTACAGTTCTTTATGGATTCTTTTGATTTTTATTTTGTATGTCTATGTCATTATGAAGATGATCCCTATTGATTTTTGTGATGATCGGATAATTTTTCACCAAAATATCCTGTTTGACTTGAAATTTTACTCTATTAGCTATATTGTGCAACTCGTGCTCACT